GCCGATGTTAGAATTTCTTAGGCGGGGAAGCATTATATACAGAAAGACTATTTTAATTCGCATAGTTTAAGAACCATATCTTAATAAAAAAATCATATGAAGCATTATTTCCAGTCTTATAGAGACCCCCTCCCCAGGAACGAAATTGCATACCAAGTTTTGAAGTTTTGTTTTATTTTTGACAGTGTTGAGCTAGCACACAACCGGGCATGTGATGAACTGTCAACAAAGGCACCTGCCAAGAACTGAGACGCACTGTAAGATTTTAATTCTGCAGAATAGTGATACGTTTATTGTCTCGGTTCATCTTTACAATGTTGTGATTTAAAGACATAGCCGCTGTAATCTTATACGATCTTTGAACATATTGTGGTCAATTTGCTTATAATGTGTCAGTGTGTGCGCGTGTGTGCGTGCATGTGTGCGTTCGTGCTTGCGTTCGTGCGTTTTATATGCTGCGCTTTCTTTATTTGTTACACCTTTAATATGTATGTGCATGCTTTTAAACCAGAAATATAATATAATACAAATATACAAATGACTGTCTGTATCTTGGTGTTATTTATCTAAACAACATGTTCGTTTTACATTTAAATATTTCTCCGATTTGTTTGTACCAATTTTCCGAAGAAAAGTAGAATGTCGGAGTTGGGATGGAAATATCTACACAATATTTCAAACAATAATACATTCAATTGTGTTGTCTATATAAGTCTATACAAATTAAGTGACTTGTGCGTTTGAATTCCTTGAATAAGTTTATGCAAAGTTTATGAAAGTAGTTGCCATCAAGACGAGTCTAAATTTCATCTCATGGGACGTGCTTTAAGTAACATTTGAACAGGACCAGATTGAAACACTGCTGTCAAAATATCTAAGCTCTTGATGTTTCTGTACAAAAGACTTTCAATGTTTGTTTATGTATGAGTATGCACTCTATGTACCCCTCGTGTTTGCCATCTATTAAACAAAGGTGCAGGATTTATATAACTCTGATAGAGACCATTTATACATTGCTTTATGCCATCTATCTTAGCTCTGAGCATTGTTACGATAGGAATTAAATATGTTTTCCTATACAAGTCTTCTCCCAGAGCAGGAAGGGCTTGATTTATGTAACTTTTGTTGAGAGCTACATGGTTTTTTCTACGTACCAAATTTATACCAAGCTCTGTTTATTGATGTTTTAGAGAGGAGATTTTTGAAGTTCATTTTTGTTATAAGTCTATTGGAAAAAGTGATTTCTAAAGAGAATTTCTGCACAGGTTATCTAGGCAATGATTGCAAAATAGCCAACCTTTGGACACATTATTTTGAACAATGATTTTCCCATTAAAATCTTTGCAAACTAAGTGCACAATGGCAGACCAGTTTTGAATAGGAATAATGCATGCTATTTACCATATGTAGAAATTTTGGGCATTGTAGTTTCTGTGGAGAAGAGAAGATTATAAGTCTGTTATAGCTTTTAAAAGTCTATCTAAATGAAATATACAGAGTGTCAAATAAGGATTATTCCTCTGAAATTTGGTCGAAATCTGCAAGAAAATATTTTTTTATCAATTGTCGACAATGACGGACGTCGGAATAAACATTATGCTTTTCTGTTCTCAGGAGAACTGAACATTATACAGTTATTTCATATGTGATTTGGGAATAGTCAAACTGTTGGCCCGAGGTGAAGGAAGTAGTGTTTTGAACTGTTAAGGTCGTAGGCCGAGGGCAACAGTTCAAGACACTATCCCCGACACCGAGGGACAACTGTTTGACTGTTCCCAAATCACATATGAAATAACGGTTTTAGCACTGATCAACTACTTTTTTAATTGTACTTGCAGAAGAAAAAAGGAACAAGAAAATAATTTTGCACATATGTTAATAATTAAACTTAATAGATCTACTTTAACTGTGTCACGTAACGTCTGGTTTATGATCAAGATCGATGGACGCTCCAAGTGGGAATTCTATATGATGTCAATGACATCAGAGCACGCGAGGGAAACAGTCGAAACTATTGACCGGTCAACAGTTCGCGAACGCGGACGGTTTTAGAATTTAAGAAAACAGTAAAAAAAATACCAAATTACATTTATATAAGGTCTCAGGTAATAACATAAAATATTTGCTTCCGTATCGTCAAGCAGATATGACACTATATAACTGTTTTACACTGTTTTCGTATGAAACGGAGGTTTTCCTTAAATTTGATAATTGGGAAATACATATCTAAATATATATACTTTCATGTAAATCTATGAACTTTTCTAACTACGTTTTAAAATTCTAACATAAAATTAAACGAATGTCTCAATCTATACGAACATTAACACTATAATAATAATTCAACACAATTATAAACTTCTAAATATATATGAACACATATCATATCAATGAAACAATAATATGTAAACAGTTAACTTTCTAGTATACATTGAAAATTTACAATAAATTGTTGGTAATGAAGTAGGTAAAGTCAACTACAAGCATTTAAATCATTTTTATAGTGATTTATCTGTTCTGTTTTAACAAACATGATTATGTTTATATTACAGTACGTTTGTATTATAGTGTTTGTTTCCTGTTTCTCAGCATGTACACAACAAATGTGTAAATTGAACTTAATTTCCATATTCCGTATATTCCGATGGACATTTGGCCGATTCGATCGTTTTGGTCTAGAAAAAATAAATGATAAGTTTGCAAAATTGAAAGCAATTTTCTCAACATTACGAACATGGTAAGTACAGTATCGCTTCACTGACGCACTAATGTTTCCTAAATGCAGCAGTCTGATATAAACAATAGAAAAGATATAGAGCTTTATCATGACTGTTCTTTCAAAGTAAAGTAAGCTTTGTCTCTGTTGTTCTTCATATATCAGTCATTTTCTGGGATTTTATACGCATATTCTAAATGTAAATAGAGAATACCATGTTTGTGTCTGCAAAATATCAGGGAAGGCTAAGAGAAACATGAGGGCCACGATGGCCCTGAATCACTCACCAGAAACAACTGTCTTTCATTGTAAGTAATATTTTTTCAAGAAAACTTGCCGATAAGCAAGTCCTGCTCAACTTCAACTTGCCGCTCTAGTTTTATAGTTTCACGACACTGATTGTTAGGGTTTTTCATCATAATAAAAAGGAACCTTTCATAAATAGCCCAAGTTCATTGTTACTGTACATCTGGCAAGTACAGCATGTCAACTCACGCTTTCTTTTTTCCTTTTCATATTGGAGCCTTTTTATACAAGACTACCTAAGAATGCTACATATAAAGTTTGCTGATTATCCCTCAATAAGTTAAGTAGAAGGTCTTTAAAGGTTTTTCTATTTTAGCTTTAGTGGCCCCTAAATGTGCCAATCAAATTAATATAAGCAAATTTGATAAAAGACTACCTAAGAATGCTACATACAAAGTTTGGTGACCATCCATCAACTAGTTCAGTAGAAGATGTTTAAAGGTTTTCTTTCTATTTTTAGCTCTAAATGCCCCTTAAAGAGACCAATCAAATAAATATGAGCAAATTTGATGAAAGACTACCTAAGAATGCTACAGACAAAGTTTGGTGATCATCTATCAACGATGCATATGACCTTCTTTGTCAATTCCTACGCATCAAAACTACAAACCGGTGTAAAATAGCCGACAAACAACGCCCAGACTGATACAAGTTTTACATATTTACTGTTTTTTGTAAGGAAGGAAAGAATATCAGAAGCATTTAATTACAACATGGAGGCACAGCATCGTACAGCGCTACGTGCTGGTTGTACAAAAGTCCGATGATGAATTCATGTCACGGGGCAGCCGCTCAAAGCTACAGTCATAAATTCTTTTGATATGCGAGTTCGTGCGTGTTGTTTAGTCCCTGATGTCTATATGGCTGAATGACAGTGCAATGTAGCGTAATGAAATATTTCAACATGACAGGACTGTATATAAGCTTTGATATTTCAACATTGCACCGTTACAATGCTCCTAGAACAAAACACACGATGTGACCACACAAAATGAAAGATGCAATCAGCCACTAAGCAAGTTGAAAGTAATCATAATATTAATTGCAAATTTGCACATCACATTTTGATACCAGGGGGGGGGGGGCGCACGTTCGTAGTTTTCGCGAAATATGCCGGACTTTAATTAGCTGTTGCCTAAACTGTTTCCCATCAGTTGTGTCCCTTTGTTTCAATTACGCCATTAATTAGCACATCGCAGCTGCAACCTGAACTGGTAAGTTTTATGTAGCTTTCAAGCTTTACTTACAGACACTATTTTTATTATTAGAAGAAAAACATCGCCTTTCAAAAATTTTCTCGATGTCTCTCCTATATACTACTAAAGCACTTACCCTTACGCAAAGGAGACTTGGTACAATGGCCAAACCAGTGAACCCTCGTGAAACCGTTGCTCGTGAGGTTTATGCTTCTTGAAGTCTTCAGAATATAGTCAGTACGACTGATCTTGAAAGCCTCGTTGTGAAATCTGGTTTCATCCAGTTCCGGTGTCCGAACTGTTCCGTAACTAACAGAACCGTACTCAGTATTACTCGTACCACACTCTCCCCGATTCTAAAGAGACGAACATTTCAGTTAACTTAAATTATCTTGATATTGGCTAGGTCTTAATAAGGAAATTATGCTGCCACAGTTGTTCCGCTATAATAAATGCTGAACAGGCTGTCAGAATAAACACCTAACCATGGTTTGGGGGTGATTTAGCAAACGATTTGTTATGCCATGTCTGTTCCACTGCTAATGCTGAACAAAATTTAGAGTATTCCCAACAAACAGTCGTTCGGTGGTAGCCGAATAGACAGATCATATGTCAATATTTGTTCCGCTTCTGATGCTGAACACATGAAAGGGATTTCCGTCAATCCATTGCTCGGCCATAACCGAACAAATGACCCTTAATTTACAAAGAATATAAATCCTTGCCATTCTTGGTGGTCAGCTATATCACTGTTGCAAGCGTCATTCCGCTATGTCTGCTGACTACCTCCCTAATATCTCCAAGAAATGCAGGGTACTGGCTCGGGCTGCAGCTTGCTTGAAATAGGGCGCATCCGTTTCAAGGAGTAAACGGTTTGCTGGCACCCGTTGCAGTGCTGCGATCTGGTACTTGTCAAAAGAAGTTACCCAAGCACTGAATCCAAAATAACAGTTGGGGTAAGCATCCAACCATCCTACAACTTGTTCCACTGTACCACCAAAATGTAGGTGTATTTTCTGTGTTGGAGCTGCATTCGCCTTCATCAACTGTAAGCATTTTGCACTTACCTCACCTACATGCTGATCTGCTCCTTCTCTCATATGCAAGAAGACTGGACGGACCGGCATACTAAAGTTGAGTAGTTTCACCAGGGTCTCCTCCTGCAACTTCAACAACTTCTCTGGTTCTGTCCTTTCCAGTCCAGTCTCTCCTACTGCAAAAACGTCCCAAGATTTCAAATAGTCAAGGACCATCTGAAACTTGGCTGGTGCCAGATGCTGGCATTTTTTCGGATGTACACCTATTGCCGCACCGAAACCTTTCAGGCTGGGGAGCTTGACAGGATATGTCTCGGGATCGCAATTAACCATTACTCCCCCGACAACATTTACTCCGTCCTTGGTGTGCAGCCTACCTCTGCTTCTATCAGGTCGGTTATCGCCGCCCTTGGATGGCCCATCAACAATTTACTGAGTCGGTCTGCATGGAAGTGAGAATCAAAAGCTTCAAAAAAACTGGCAAATCTTCCTCCTTCTCTCCCTCCTCAAATCCGACGCTATCCAAAACCTGATATTGGTCAGCCACTAACTCCACGCTGTCGCTGACCACTCCACTACGAAAATAGCCCTGTTCTTCCAAAGACAATTGGCACAGCAGAACGAGTAAGACCCTCCAATGGCAAAGTAGAGCCTCACTGTTCACTGGTTTCAGAGTGAACCGAGCTGGTATGTCATAGTTATGTCTCTGACAGATTCCGACTAACCAATCTCGATTCGAGTCTGGCACATGGGTGTCATGAGTGAAGGCTTTTTTCCTATTCACCATATATATTCACCAGCTCCCCAAACGATCCATCATCTCCAACTAGCCTACACTTCAAAAATAGGACTAGTTCCATCCTTTCCATTCCAGGTTCTAGCAGCTGTTCAAACTGAAATGGCCTCGGCAGATGTTTTTCCATCACATGCCGGCGAACATTCCGAACCGTTGCTGAACATCCATCTAACGGGCAGTTTCTCAGACTAACCTTTTTTACCTCATGTTCCTCCTCTCTGCGATAATGTTCCTCCTCCCTGCGATAATGAGAGGATGAAAAAAATCCTGTCCCTGAAGTGAGGATTGCTGTGTATTTCCTGTTTAGAGACACACGTAGGTATTCCTTTGGTCTGCTTTCCACGAACTGGTCCTTTGGTGTAAAACCTCTAGTAATCAAGTCTGCCGCCATGTCTCCACAATCTTCAGTTACGGACCGAGAAACTGGCTCTATGTCCGTAACTGCAACCTGGACTCCGATTCTTCTATTGGGAGAATCTCCTTCTTTATGATTTTGACAGGGCTAGACACCTTTGTTTCTACCTTAATTTTGGCAGCATTTTCACTTATGGTCGGGATGGAAGGATTCGTCAACAATCTAATGTCTTTGCACATTGTGGACGATGATGGCAAAGTTGACGACTGTGTGGTCCTCCGTTTAGGGGATCGATATCCAATGTTCCTTTCCATCCATTCGTGTGCCTGGTGGACCGCTACACATGCCCTGAATTCCTTAATACATTTAATTCTTTTCAACTTAAGGGCAATCTTGTACTGGGAAATAAGGACATCTTGTACTCTATCATTTCTGGTTGAGGGTATGAATATATGTAATTTCTCAAATAATTCTTTAGAGTCATGGGCTAGTCGGGAGCGAGCTAGTATCCCTTTGTCACATTCGCTCAGGCTAGTCCCTCTTGCTACACCTTTGGAGGAGATAATTGAAGTTGACAGCAAAGGGAAATAATGGGCTAATCCTAAAGAATTATTTGAGAAATATGGAATCAGTGCAATATTTACAGCCTCCACATGGTAACTTTGTTAGTTCTGCGTCGGCTTTATATGCATCACAAGGTGTTGGCTCGGCTGATACTCTTGATAGCGCATCAGCATTTCCATGTTGTTTCCCTGGACGATGCTCAACCTAGGTAGACCCAAGATTGGTGGGCTGGTCAAAGCAGCTTTAATGTCTTTAAATGACGCTTCCTGGGCCTCACTCCAAATAAACATCTTCTTTCCTGTAATCTCATACAATGCTGATGCTCTGCCAGCGTAATTTTGATGAAGGCCCGATGATAATTAGCAAGTCCTAAGAAGCTTTCCACTTCCCTGGTACAAGTGGGTCTGGCCAACCTGTCACAGCTTCAATACCCTTCTTGCTAATCTCAAGTCCATCTGGCCCAACATATCGCCCCAGAAACTCTACCTTGGATTTAAAAAGGTCACACTTCTTGGGCTTTAACTTCAGTTGATACTTTCTGAACCTGGTGAATACTTCTCTCAAGTTCTTAAGGTGGTGATCGAAACTTTTACCTAAAGCCATCAGATCATCCAATAATGAAAGCACTGTATTCCAGTTCAGACCTTGAAGTACGGTACCCATAGCTCTTGCATAGGTTGCTGGGGCATTGCACAAACCGAATGCCATCCTAACGAATTCAAAAAAACCGTACTTAGTGACCATTGCTGTCTTCTTTCTATCTTCTGGCTTCACTCGAATCTATTTACTTTATGTTGGCGAACCAGTCTACGCTGTTCGCGATAATGCGAGCATGTTTCCACCTCTGGTGTGTCTGGGTCTGATTCTTCATCTAAACGTGAAGAATAATATGACCTGGAAGTCCTTATTGGTGGTCCTGATCTGTAACTGCCTTTGTCTCTTGGGCCAAACAGATCAGTCTTGTTAATTGTTTCATTGATCCTATCAATGTAGGACCTTTTCCGATCCCTTGAATCAGGCAATGAAAAATCCACCATGTCAACTAATTGATTTGACATCCTGATATGTGGTATAGCTGACAACATTTTTTTACATCAATCAATCTAAATTTCTCTCGTAATTCAATAATTGTTTGGGCTGTTTTTGGCCCAATACCGGGAAGCGATGTTAAGGCATCAAAAGATGCCGTATTGATGTTTATTTTCATGTAGGCCATTGTTAATCGCAAAGGACAGGCGGTATACAATTTATTTATTTATTTTAAAGTAACTTAACAAGTGTTTTAATTATGCTAATTGATATTACTTTAAATAGTTTTAAAGTGCTCACAAGCTAGAATTTAATTTGAATACTGAAAAATTATAATAATTAAAACTTAAGTTTAAAAGACTACCCAACAAGGAAAATGTTCCAAATGACGTTGATATTGAAAGTCAATGTGCTCCTGTTGGACGACCACGACCAAGATAAAGTTGTTATGAACCGTATAAACTGTTCACTTTCCAACCGACTTGTAAAAGTTGCTTCAATAAAACCCTTATGAGAGAAAAATCAATTTATAAACACAAATTGGGAACAATGAAAGCTAATAAATTGAACACAATTTATAGAATAGTGGATTGTCCATAAATTTATGTGTGTGAAAACAATAAAATTACAAATGTGGTATATTATTCAACAATTAATCACAAATTATTTAGCAAAAAAAAAAAAAAAAAAAAAGAAAAAAGAAAATTTTATTGCTTAAGTGAAACTAATTATTTTTATTCAAGTCAAGAGTTTCCCCGACAAGTTAAATAATTGACAATGAAGTTTACCAAAAAAAAAAAAACTAGTTCCCGAGACAACTTAATTATATTACATTTACATTAGCAAACAAATTGTCCTGGTACCTGCTAAGTAGGGAGGTGTGTAGTAGGACACCACCGGTGGGTGGAGTAATGCGAGAATTTGGTAGTGTGTCACCTTCCCTTTTCTTTTTTATTATTATTATATTTTTAAAAAAAATAAATATCTACCTTATTACACAAAATATCAATTTTAACACTGTCCCCTTTTCAGATGTCCGTGTAAAAATATATCAGTGTAAGATAGTTGACAATAAACTAGCCAAATAATTCACAAAAAAATTGATATAACCGTCCGTTAGCCAAAACCGGAAATCCTGTTACAATTTTAAAGAATACACATTGGGGGTTGGCACTGATTGCCTTAACAGTCATCTATATTCAACATTATAATTGTTATCATTAAATTTTAAAAAATATTTTAGGCAAAACTTACATCAACAATTACAACAAGAGCTGTCACAGGACAGTGCGCTCAACTATCATCTGTGCCTAACAGTTATTGGCCTTTGTGAGTTCTGGGCCTTTGTTAGTGACCTTGAATTATGACTCTCAATACATGTACGAGGTTTAAAATGAATACCGTCTGTGGTTGTAGAGATAGAACTTGCACACAAAACCACGCAAAACCTTAACCTGGAATATTCTAAGTTCACCAAGGGCAATAAATCAGTAACAAGTCAAGCTAGAGTTATGAGCCTTTCTCAGTGACCTACAATTATGATCCCGAAAATGTGTGAAGTTTCATGCAAATATCTTTGATAGTTTCCGAGATATGAATTTGCACGCAATAACTTAACCGGTGTTACTACACTGTCAACGCAAAAGCCAGGGTAAATTTAGGACAGCTCCCCTCTTCTTTGAATAGTCAAGCTAAAAAGTAGTATTTTGACATAACACCAATATCATCTGAAAAAAATATAGTACTTACACAAGCAAACTGACAGACAGGAACTTGCACAGAGTTGTTTCCTCTAGTGATTGAACAAGGAGCACTCTTGAATATGATAAAAGTGTAATCATTATTAAAGACATCGAACCAATTTTTGGTTTTGGAAAGTGCTCTTTCTGCTGTGTACCTCTTATTTAGAACTAACTGTATTTGACGTTTCAAGCTTTAGCTTTTGAGATATCCTCTACACAAAGAATTTCGGACAGATACATGCACGCACACACAGACGCACATATGTACAGAAAGACTGCATCACTGTTTCATTCCTCCCCTTTGGGAGACTTTTTTCTAAAGAAAATATCATTGTGCATAGATTTTTTCTCAAGTATTAGCAAATACATTTTTTGTATATAAACATTCAAAAAGCATTGTCCACAAATGCAGAAATATACAATTGATCATTATAGAAACACTTCACTTCAAAAGTGTATTAACAAATTATTAAACTAGAACTCCGCGAGTCGGATGTGTCGCCTTGTGAACAATATAATTAAGGAGAAATGGCCAGGACAAGAAGATTAACAAAGGGCAACAACTCAAACAATAAGAAGTGCAGAGCAGCAGTTTCTGAGCGCTGCACTTCTTATCAATAAGATCTATCATCCTATGAAGTTTCAAGTCCATAGCTTTTATAGTTTATGAGATATGGCCTGGACAAAAATAAAGTATGAAAATTAATAAAGGGTAATAACTCAAAAATAAGAAACGCAGAGTACCGGTTCTTGTACACTTCACTTTTTCTTAATGAGATCTACCATCCTATGAAGTTTCATGTCCATAGCTTTTATACTTTCGGAGAAATGGCCCGGACAAAAATAA